TATGTCATTAATGCTTGCCATCACCATGGCACTTGATGATAATTGTAATCCTGCTCCAATTTCTCATCATTATAAAGAACAAACTTTACATTCCATTCTTTCTCAATATTTTCCAGAAACTATTCTTCTTGATAACAATGGAAAAAGGAGAACTCAAATTGATATTAAACATGAAACTTTGAGTGAAACTATATCCTTAAATGGTTATTTCGATAGTGAAAATAGAATGACAAATGCTCAAAAAATGAGAAAAATCAAAAAAGAGCGAAAACTCCGTTGGGTATTTGGTGAAAAAATTGGAAGAATCAAAGACCAACCCGTAGTTTCACCTGGTGAATTCCGTTATGGTGATGGAAAGTTAAGATTTGATGATGAGGACCATGATGCGATAAGCATGTTTTCCAATGATTCTGAAAGTAAAAAATTTGCTAAAGAAATATGGATTAAGAAAAAGAAAAAAGATAAATTGGAATCTATATTCGGTCGTGGATTAAAGGATCGAAATAGCTTCAAAGATTCTTTACCAAGATCTCTTGACAATACTATTACACCTAATGATAATGATCGTAATAAAATCCATTCATTCTCATTAAATGTATTAAGTCCAGATGATCGAAGGAGAATGGTTAAAAAGAATAAAAAATTACAAGTGATGCTTGGTGAAGCTTTGGATGAGAACATGATTCGTCAAACTATAACCATTCCGGCTACACAATCACCGGGCTTATTATTCCATAATAAAAGTAGATTTAGTAGCGAAGTTGGTATATCAAATAAACCTCATCTTTTTCGTAGGGCCTCTGATTCAATGATTATTTCACCACTGCCTTCGCCAAACAATATCATAACTCCACCAAAAACTCCCACTTTATCAGATGAAAACAATGATCAAAATTGCATAAAACATCAATCCAAAAATTCTGTGGCTTCATTCACAAATCCAAAACAATCTGATTTAGCTGTCGCCAATAAAGACACTAAGGAGTATCGAAGAAAGAAATTACAAAAACTTTATAATTTTCTGGGTGAACGCGTTCCTATTGATATTGTATTGGGTGAAAAGGATAATTATGATGTTTCATTACTTCCAGAACCATTACCGGATCCTCCTAAACGAAAGTCCAAAGGAAGACCAACTTCTTTATCATTTAAAAAGAATACTTCAAGTTCAAATAATAACATTGATGCTCATGCAACGTTAACCCTTCCAAGGTTATCCGCAATAGATAGAAAACGTCATCTTCACAGAGCAATCAAGTTGGAAAAAATGTTTGGGGAAGCTCCTCCTCAAGATCTAATAGTTCAGAAGTTACGTTCTAGAAACTTTACTGATTCAATATCATCCATTGATATTCATCGTAGAAGCATAATGTCTCTTGAATATTTAATGGAAAATGATAGAAATACTATGTATGATCTCATTGATTACATGGCAGATAGTGATGGAGAAAATTATGATGAGGAGTGTGAGGAGGAATATATTGCTCCTTTATCAGCTCCTGCAACTCCTAATCCTGGCAATTCATTGAGATTTGATGTACCTCAAATAGATCCGAAACAAGTAAAATTGAAAGGAATCCGTAAATTATCTCACTTCTTTGGTGCAACTTATGGACAAATGTTTCCTGATCAAGTTCTTGGTGAGTTATTAGGAGATCTTGAAAGAGAAATTAGAGAAGAGGCACGGCAAAATGAGGAGGTTGATAAAGCCATTGTTGCAGGATTAATGGGTCAATTAGAAGAATTAAGAGCAAAAAGTGGAGAGTTAGGACCAAATTCAGATGACGATGAAAATAATGAAGAATTATCTTTGACAGATAATGAATCAGATGAGATACGCAAGAGATTAGAACTAAATCGTAAAAAAAGAGATCTTAAATCAGAAAGTATACTTTAAAAAAAAAAAAAAAAAAAAAAAAATTTTTTGTCGATGTATATATAATGTTTGATTTGAATTTCAATTACTTATATTGCTTTGACATATTTATATGTATTTTTTTTTATATCTCATTCACATGTATATTAATAATCACTTTTTTTTAGTGTAAACATTTGATATTATTTAACTACGATAACTATTAAACAAAAAAAAAACTTTGCTTTTAAGCTTTATGTGATAATTAGTATTAACCTTTATTTTTGAATTAAAGCATATAAATTATTAAGTAATGATAGTTGCTTTAAATTATCTTGTAGATAATCTGCAAAAATATAACAGTAATTTAATTAATTTAATTTAAACACGCGTTTTTATTATATATTCGTTTTTTTTTTTGACGTAATATAGTTTTAAATTTCGGGAAATTTACAAATAAAGATCCAAAACTACAAATGGGGATCTAAAATAAAATTATTATACGTAGTGCTGCCAAAAGAAAATACTTATTATACACAAACTGATATTACATACGTACTTGATTTTATAATTAGTAAATGCTAGTGTTTGGGCATGTCCTAACGTCCATGCATTATTTAAAATAAAATATTGATGATTACAATGACGAGTGATTGATTAAATTATGAAAATCACATTACATAAACTATTATATGTGACGATTAAGCACCATGCTGCATAGTCCCATCTCTAGGCATAACCAGGATCATTTACGTACGGTGCGGTGTTTAAGCTATTTGCCAATACATATAATTTAATAAAATTTTAGAAAATCACTTGAAATTCATACAATGCTAAGTAGAAGCACTCGGAAGTAGCTTAGAGGTAGGTCAACGAATAGCTTCGACCTAGGAAAGACCAAATTCTACGTGTGATTAAATAAAATTCTGTAATGTAATACTGTTTTTTTTAGCACATTTTGTATAATTCGGATAAAAATATAGATTTTTGCATAATTCTGTACTAGTCTTTGATTTCATATGCTAAAAGAAAATATTATATAAACATAGTTTATTTATTTAAAATATAATATATATGTTTGTTTTAAAAAGGTTCGGGGTTTATAGTTTGATTAATCTCTCAATTCTTTACAAAGTTAATAGTTTGAGTTGGCTAGAGATAAAAAATATTCTATAATTAAAAGAAGTTATAATCAAATGTTAAAGCTCAAGAAAATACAAATAAAATAAAAATTCTTAAAATGGATTGATATTGTAAAGGATTAATTATATTTAAAACAACTTTAATATATATAAATCTACTATGTTATAAAAATAAAAATATAAAAATAAAAATTTTATATATCTAAATATTTTTTTTTTAGTTGTTAGTCTCTTCGGCTTATCGTAAATTTTTAGAATCACTGGTATCTTCAAGGAGCCCCAGACATAGTATATTTTAATAAGGATATGTCTTGAAAATCACCCTCCGACATTTTCTATCGGACAAAAATAAACCCGAGTTCTGGTTCATCTTTCACTTTTATTGATTCATAGTTATTCGATAAACTATTTTTTGTCAGAATTAACCCGATTAGAAATGTTGGAGGGTGATTTTCAAGGCAAAACCCCCAGATTGATATATATACAACTTTTATTTAAAAATTTTAACTATAGTTATTCTCTATATATTATATCTAAAATCTGTTTGTAGATTTTTTATTTAAACTCTCTAATCTAAGCTTTTTTATATTAATCTAACCTAATCTTATAAATTAGTTAGAGTAATCTCCAAAGTACTGGTAATATAATTATAACACAATTACAGTATATATACAGTATAATTAGTGTTGGCAAATAGAACAATAAAACAAAACCTTAATTTTTTGTCTTTATATAAAAAACTTTTTTATTAATAATTTGCAATTATTTAAATATACAGTCTTCCTTCTCTATAATCACATGGTTTGTTTACATAAAAAAGATGTGATTATAAAATTTTAATAGTTTTGTAATTATATAAAGTTTTTTTAATAAATAAATTGCCAATAATTTTTCAAAAAATGGTGCTTATAAAAAGGGTGTAACTATATAGGAGGCGATTATAGAGGAGGACGACTATATATTGTTAAAGCATTAGTAAAGTAATAAATTTAAAATAGTTTATATTTAAGGGCTTTATAATGATGAGAAATTGGAGCAGGATTACAATTATCATCAAGTGCCATGGTGATGGCAAGCATTAATGACATA